TGTGTGTGTGTGTGTGTGTGTGTGTGTGTGTGTGAGAGTGTGTGTGTGTGTGTGTATGAGTGCAGTTACTCTCCTCCTCTAATTCACTTTTATTTCACTCTTTTATTCACACTGGCTAGTCTCTGGAATAGAATGTGACCTTAACTCCATGTCTACAGCGGGCATGAGTTGCACATCACAATGCATCAAAACTAAATCGCTCCCTTTATAATCAATGAAGCTGTCTAGAGTTGCTTTCAGCGGACAGATGCTCCGTTTATATTTCTGAAGAGCTGCAGAGCTGCTCCAGCCACTTTATTCTCCCATCCTTCTGAAAAACAATTATTTTACTTGCAAACCCTTATATGTGTGGAATTAATTTTATTCTATGAGTTTAATTCTTGATGTCGTTGGCCTTTTTTTATTTAAATCATCTTGTGTTTTTAACCCTATGCAGTTTTATAAAACATGTTATATTATCATTTTATTGGTTCTAAGATAGCCCATGCTAAATCAATTTGTATACAAAACGATTTCTGTTGAAAATTATTAATTTCAATAAAAGCGTAGCCTCAAGCTTACAGCGGATTGATCAGTGTTAAAGAACCAGTGTACACATGCTGTCAGGCTACATTCACACCGAAAGTGTCCAATCCTGATTTAGGCAACAAATGTCACATTTTTGTCATATTTTATTTCAAAATTAAATTAGAAAAAATTATCTTTATTTGCATTCTCTATTCTATTTGTATTGTTACTGTTCAAAGATGTGACTCTGACAATTTGATATCTAATGTAAATCAAAATACAAGTATAAATTTAAGTATATTGCTGCATTATTATGTGTAATAATTAACATAGTGAATACATTATATTAACTGCAAGGGTAAATCAAGCATGCAGTTATGACAACTGTTAAGTTACACTGGCATACAAAAAATATAAAAACACATTTACAACCTAAAAATGTCACATTGAAGTCATTTAGCAAAAGTGTTGCCAGTGTTTTTTTTTTGTTTTTTTTTCACATTTGAAATGTAATTTTCCCTGTTCATACAACCATCCAAAATCAATTCTGTAAATTAATAAATAATAAATAAATGTGTGGTTTGAATGTAGCCTCTACTAACAGTGCAAAGGTCAAAGGTTCATGCTCCCGTTCACTCCCAGACAATTCCAAAAACAATTTCAGTCCAGCTTCTTGTTTGTTTGTTTTTTTCTAACTGTTTAATTTTGCTTAAATATTTTCTTAATTTAGTGCAATGTCAGTGTCATGTTTTTGCCACATTAATTACATTTGCAAATCCTCTCACTGACTGTCAACAGAAGAGAAACATGTTGGCTTTTACTAAAAAAGGAGAAAAAAAAAAGAAAACATGATTAAGGTAGTGGAAAAAGACAAAGCGAAAGAAAGAAAGCAAGAAGCAGCGTGAATATTCTGGAGTTAGACAGACAGTTATTAAATGATGGTGTCTAGAACAGTATATATACCTGTGTGTTCATATTTGTGTCTGAGGAGGGAACTGCTCTTCTGGAATGTTTTGTCGCAAAGGTCACACGCGTACATACCACTTTCTGTTTTCTTAATCTTCTTCCTGGACAGACAGGCCTCGGGGTCGGCCATATCATCTAGACTGCTCAGATAATCTGCCGGCCCGTCGAGAAGCTCGCTCTGGAAAGAGACGGCGATCGTTAGCTCCTTGAGCTTAGCATTATTTTTATTGTCATCACACAATGCGGTTCACTCTATGGTGCAAGAATAATAAAAATAACAAATCACAAATTAATAAGCATTAGAATAAAACAAACATTTACAGAAGCTGCTGGTGTCAGAATCAATTACTTACAATTATAATAATTTACAACTCAAAATTAATATGATATGATATGATATGATATGATATGCATCAAAACTAAATCGCTCCCTTTATAATCAATGAAGCTGTCTAGAGTTGCTTTCAGCGGACAGATGCTCCGTTTATATTTCTGAAGAGCTGCAGAGCTGCTCCAGCCACTTTATTCTCCCATCCTTCTGAAAAACAATTATTTTACTTGCAAACCCTTATATGTGTGGAATTAATTTTATTCTATGAGTTTAATTCTTGATGTCGTTGGCCTTTTTTTATTTAAATCATCTTGTGTTTTTAACCCTATGCAGTTTTATAAAACATGTTATATTATCATTTTATTGGTTCTAAGATAGCCCATGCTAAATCAATTTGTATACAAAACGATTTCTGTTGAAAATTATTAATTTCAATAAAAGCGTAGCCTCAAGCTTACAGCGGATTGATCAGTGTTAAAGAACCAGTGTACACATGCTGTCAGGCTACATTCACACCGAAAGTGTCCAATCCTGATTTAGGCAACAAATGTCACATTTTTGTCATATTTTATTTCAAAATTAAATTAGAAAAAATTATCTTTATTTGCATTCTCTATTCTATTTGTATTGTTACTGTTCAAAGATGTGACTCTGACAATTTGATATCTAATGTAAATCAAAATACAAGTATAAATTTAAGTATATTGCTGCATTATTATGTGTAATAATTAACATAGTGAATACATTATATTAACTGCAAGGGTAAATCAAGCATGCAGTTATGACAACTGTTAAGTTACACTGGCATACAAAAAATATAAAAACACATTTACAACCTAAAAATGTCACATTGAAGTCATTTAGCAAAAGTGTTGCCAGTGTTTTTTTTTTGTTTTTTTTTCACATTTGAAATGTAATTTTCCCTGTTCATACAACCATCCAAAATCAATTCTGTAAATTAATAAATAATAAATAAATGTGTGGTTTGAATGTAGCCTCTACTAACAGTGCAAAGGTCAAAGGTTCATGCTCCCGTTCACTCCCAGACAATTCCAAAAACAATTTCAGTCCAGCTTCTTGTTTGTTTGTTTTTTTCTAACTGTTTAATTTTGCTTAAATATTTTCTTAATTTAGTGCAATGTCAGTGTCATGTTTTTGCCACATTAATTACATTTGCAAATCCTCTCACTGACTGTCAACAGAAGAGAAACATGTTGGCTTTTACTAAAAAAGGAGAAAAAAAAAAGAAAACATGATTAAGGTAGTGGAAAAAGACAAAGCGAAAGAAAGAAAGCAAGAAGCAGCGTGAATATTCTGGAGTTAGACAGACAGTTATTAAATGATGGTGTCTAGAACAGTATATATACCTGTGTGTTCATATTTGTGTCTGAGGAGGGAACTGCTCTTCTGGAATGTTTTGTCGCAAAGGTCACACGCGTACATACCACTTTCTGTTTTCTTAATCTTCTTCCTGGACAGACAGGCCTCGGGGTCGGCCATATCATCTAGACTGCTCAGATAATCTGCCGGCCCGTCGAGAAGCTCGCTCTGGAAAGAGACGGCGATCGTTAGCTCCTTGAGCTTAGCATTAGTTTTATTGTCATCACACAATGCGGTTCACTCTATGGTGCAAGAATAATAAAAATAACAAATCACAAATTAATAAGCATTAGAATAAAACAAACATTTACAGAAGCTGCTGGTGTCAGAATCAATTACTTACAATTATAATAATTTACAACTCAAAATTAATATGATATGATATGATATGATATGATATATGATGTGATATGATATAATATGATATAAAAAATAACAACATGATCTAATGATAGAATTTATTAATATTTTAATTCATGATTATGTATAATTAAATATGTTCATAATGAACTGTAATATAAATTATACACCCAGATAAAATAATCAATAAACTGTAAATGACAGAGAACTTGCTTGTTTAATCTATTTATGTATTTCATGATTTTCTTTTTTTTTTTAATTTAAAATGGAATATGTAAAAATTAATAAGATACGCATTTCTCAGCTAAAACTGGAGTAGGAGTCTTAAGAATTGAATATTAAAATGTTTGCGACCTGAAAAAGCATGTAAAGGCAGGATATTACAAATGAGGCCTTTCTCTCTTCTTAATCACACCTTATTCCATATATTTGCATTCAAATTTGGTTTAATTTCATACATGAAAGGGTGTTAGCGCAGTATTTATCTGAGCAGAGATTACCCCGATAGGCTTAAACTTAAATTAATGGGGAAAAAAATATTACATTAGAAGCTAATAACAATAAGGAGAGAGTCTTAGTAGGGAATATTGCCACAGTCCTCTAATTTCAAACGGTAATGATTAAATCAAGAGGGGCACAAAATGGCCAAAACTGCAGCGACGATGCCCTCATTAAGGACAGCCGGCTCTGGACTGACAATACTTCTGCACACTCTCTTTTAAAAAGCTCTGTGCTATCGTTCCGCAATCAATTTGAGCTAAATGCCCTTAGCTGTATTTTTAAAATCTAATTTAATAACTTAGAATAGGAAACATTATTAATACTTTTTTATCAGAATGGTTTCCCCGATGTTAAACAGCCCTCAGCGCTGAGCTGTAATGAACATGGGGAGTGTGCATTATTAATCTTTATGCTCAAGCTCATTTCAGCTTTTCTCGCTGTAGAAATATAGGGAAAAAAGGGGTAGAAATAAAGAGATATGTCTAAGGTTCACTGATTCTCTATGACTCTGGTTTTTCTCACACCTGAGATGGGAAAAAGAGCAGTGGCGCCACAGGCGCATCTACTCTAGACCGACGAACACTTGCCACTTTGATGTTTCCTGCTCTCGGTATCTTGGACGAGCCACTCAAGAACTGGCAACATAACCTTCACCACTAAAAGAGCCAGCGTATGGCACTAGAGGCATTGACATCTACTACAGGAACCGCGGTTCTCTTTCATCGCCTCATCCGCCGCTGGGCGTGAGGTGAGTTCCCCTCTCCCGCTCTGAGTGGCTTTTAATTAGTGTCTGAATGAAGCCGAGCGCCACTCACCAGAGGGATAGAAAAAATAAACACAATGCCTGAGGGTTTATGAAACAGAGAGTCTGTTATTTACCTGGAACCCTGGCTTCCGCTGGTATTTTCTCCTCTGCTGCATCTCGGCGTAGCTGGCCGCGCCTGCCGCGTACGTGTAGGCCATGTGTGGCAAGAAGCTTATCTGGTCGAGGCTGGGGTAGGGTCTCAGCCCTGGGAGACTGGCTTGGACCGGAGGCATGAACGTAGGGTGAGGAAATGCACTTTGGGGCGGGAGGGAAGTGTACAGGGGTTTGGCAGCGAAGGGGTTCAGACCAAACATGGGGCTCGAGCTTTTGTCCAGATTGCTGTTTGCATTGGGGCTGCCAAACTCCTTCTTAGAGAGATAAGCCAAGTTGAGCGGCTCGTCTGCATGCGGAGGAGTCCTGGAATTAGCATACTGAAATACTTTCCTTTGCTCAAACCACTCTTTCACAAACTCCTGCGGAAGGCCGACTGCTATGGAGATTTTCAGTAGTTCTTCTGAGTTGGGCTCCATGTTCATGGCGAAATAAGCGTTCAGCACTGACATGTGGTCCTTGTAGGGACTGATAGGGCCGTTGATGCCCTTCTCGGGAATGACGGAGGGATGCAAGAGGCCATGTTTCTCAGCAAACAAGCCGGTTTTGTTGGTCGAGGTGTTCTGAGCGGGCTGAAGCACTGCCTTGATTTCCTCATTCATCTTGCAAAGGTAGCGCTCGTGCTGGTGCAGGGGAATGGGGCCAGGGAAGGTCTCTTTGCAATATTGGCAGGAGAAGGGTGTAAATATTAGATTATTATTCTCATGCGTTTTGTCCTCTATACCTATATCTAGCATATGATTTGCCTTCTCTTTCTTGATATTGCTTATTTGCCTCTTAGAGTCCGTAGTCAAGCTCTGAAGGCAGGCTTTGGCTTCATTGACCTTCTCAAGTGTGTAGTCTATGATGCTCTTGGTGGCACCGTTGTGATTGATGAGTGGAAGAGTATTCTGGTGTCCACCTGGAGAGGTGAGCCCTTGCTTCTGTTCCTCTATTTGGGAACCCAACTCCTTCATGTAAGCCTTCAACTTGGCGATCTCCTCTGGCTTGTAGTCCATCTTTTGTCGATAAACTGTGTTGTCCACAATCTGCAGGACCCTCTGAACCTCGCTCAGGTTGTTTCCCAGTGATGGGTATCCCAGCATTTGCCCCTCCATCCCCATGCCCAGGTGCTGAAGGGGATTCTGGGAGTTATGAATGCCCAGTGGGCTGCCTCCCCTCATACCACCATTGAGGAAGGGGCTGCCTGTACCGTAGCCATGAGAGGCCATCATCAGCTTATAGTCGTTGAAGTCCAGTGGTTCAGATTTGATGTTGAGGTGGTTGGACTGGTCTTGCAAACCGAGCGGTTTGCCATTCTCCAGTTTGTGTCGTAGCTGTGAAATGGCGTTGTTCGTTGGGGAGGACGATGCAGAGGTCGGAGATGAACCTGTCTTCATGTTGTTCCTCACCCTGCCATTGATGGCGATCAGTCCAATGCATTTCTTACTGCTTATGTGTGAACTGTAGGACCCGGAGTGCGAGAATCTCTTCTTACAGTTTGGACATTCGTATGGCTTCTCACCTACAGTGAAGACAGACAAAGAATTTGATCACATCAAAAAGTGATAGATGTTCTTATCGACACTGATTACATTTCTTTCCATGTAAAGAGTGTGTACCCTCTCTTTATCTAATGAAACATCTTTGCTGAGACAAAGCAAACAAAGAACCCATTAATTATGATGTAGAATTAAGAACATTCTTTACTAAAGCAATGCGTTATGAAAGAAAGAAAATGACGTACCACTGTGTATCCGCAGGTGCTCCTTTAGATGGTGTTTGTATTTGAAGGCCTTGCCGCATTCGGTGCATTTGAACTTGCGGTTGCCAGAACCCTGGTTGAGTATCTGGTGCTGTGGATGAGAAAATATTCACATGAGCTTCTCTTGCACAAACACACAACAGGCAAGATTTCAGTGAATAATTTTATGACGGGCCAAATGGCTCCCGTTGTAAAGCAGCATCTTGCTTTGGTTGGGTGCATTTGAGAAGTGATAACAGAGCATCTCATACCTTTTCATTTCCTGACTCTAGAGCCAGAAACGCTGCATTGGCAGCGAAAAAAAAAAGAACAAAAAGAATCCTATTTTTAAGATGTTTTTCCTCATTAGGGAGGCAGAAATGATCCACTTCATCTAATTTAGCATAATCGTTCCAAACAAATCACGCATATTTAACCAACACATCCTTCAGATACCTGTGCAAAGAGTTCATTACGCAAAAAGGTGGGCTCGCATAAATGTTGCAATTCCATAATTGGACACAAATTTGTAGACTGTTTAAAGGCTTCAAAGGTCTCTTTAATAATGCGTGAATGCGGCTCGTAGGCAGGCACTTCATTTGCTGTTCAAAGGTAGAACATGAGCGCTGCGCCCCTCGCATTTGCAATTCAAAGCAGAGCCTCGAAAATCAAAATATAATAACAATAACAACAACAACAATACAGGCGTCAGTGCAGAGAAGCAGAGAGCGCACCAGGCGAGCACAATTAATTCAGAGTGGGAGGTGAGTATGTCGAACGGGCATAGGAACACAAAAGGCCTGTGAGCGCTGCCCATGATCGGCTCCGACAACTGGTGGGGAGAGAGAGAGGCTCGCATTCCGCTGGAGACAGATGGCATAAAGCACAGGACACAGGGAGGATTGTTCAAACAGCGGCAACCTTCAAACATCAAGCAGGGAGCCAGGCGGCCCACGGCGGGGAGGGACCCCACCATTCGCTCATATGTTGCCGAGTCGCATAAACAAACAGCAACAGCTGCTTTACACCCCTACCTTCCCTCTGAGGATGGAGGCAGGTTTTAGTCCCACCATCACCCTCGATGTGATACAGTCACTCTGTCTGCCTAATTGTGACTGGCAGCAGCGAGAGGAGAGGGATTTTTCCGCCCAGTGTGATGCACTTGCGCTAAGTGTGTCAAGCATGATGTGGGAGGGGCATTTGATTGGGTATTTGCATTTTATTGGGCTTAGCAAGTATCGGTAAACCACAGTCACGTACACATGTAGAGCGCTCTACTGCGCATCACGGACTGATTTCAATGGCCATCGGATTTTCAGACAACTGCAAATTTTCAACAGGAAAGTCTTTCAAGATGAAGCGCACAAACAAAGACCAACAAATAGGAAGTAATTTGTGGATTAGAGAGGTCACGGGTGCAGAATGGGCCATCTGTTCATGTTTCGAGCGGACCGTGGCATCAGGTGAAGAAGTTGGCAGCTTGTCGTGTATCAAATCATTCTGTTCTAGTCAGAACGTCATATCTGAGAGATAAAAGAGCTGCTGTACCTCATCTCGGATGATTACAGGAGCGAGTCTGATGTCCGCTTTGAGTCGTAAAGATAAGTTTTAAGTGGCTCAGTCACTAGAGAGATCCACGTATCACGTTGCATTACATAGACCTGCTTTATTTACCAGAGGAGATCCAGTGTGTCTACCTGTTTATACAGGCGAATGCGTCTTATATCTGACACGACAGCCACAACAACCCATATAATGTATGTAAATAATGCTGCAACAGATTGTTAAGAAATAAAACGCTGAGTGCTCGGCTCACGTTTATCATTTACGCACGTGGAAATTATGATGTGTTACTCTGTCACCGCAGAGAAACTGATTTTTAAAGAACATAAAAAAGAAAACCTTAAGAGCGGATACATTTCAAAATTGGAAATTAACATAGTCAATCGATCGTGAATATAAGACTGCAGAATCATATCAGAGCAGGCCATCAAAAAACCATTTAGACCTCAATTAAGGCTATAACCATTAAAAGATCTGCATCTTCAAAATGGCATGAAAAATTAATAATGATTGCCAGTCAAAATTATATATTTTCTCCGAGGGAATACAGCACATTAGATAGAGAGAGAGCGAGAGAGGAAGTGTGGCTCACCTGATCTCGTCCTGGCTTGTGTGTGGCCATATGTCTCTCCAGCTGAGTGCGGTAACCAAACGTGTAGCTGCACAGAGGGCAGGCGAAGTTCTCCTCGTTTTTCTCGTGCCGGTACTTGATGTGTTCCTTTAGGGAAGTCAAGCGTTTGTAACCCCGGTCGCAGTAGGGGCAGGTCAACAGTTGGGCGAAATCATCTGGAGTTCCAGGTGGCAGGTCTGCAGCAGAGAGAGAGGGGCAGCGGGCCAAAAGGTCAGCAAATCAATGGCAGCGAATGGGCGTTGTGCCCAGGGTGGTACAAGGAGGTATCTGTACAATCTGCTCCACTGTGTGACGCCATCAAAGTTGGCACTGCCACCCAAACACGCACTCACGCCAATGCATGAACACACAGTAGGTGCATTCGAATTCACACAATTCGCTGAGTTTTGCTCGTGGGCTTTAGGTGAAGAAATATAACACATTCATGTTTTAAACTATTTTAGACTCCTAAAGCAGGAACATGCTAGCGACAGACATGTCAGATTAGCCAGGCCCATCGTTTGGAAGATGTTTAGCCATTTAAAGATAATGGCATCGGCCAATAACTTAAAAAACAGGTCAAATTCAATATCCACTGACCCTTTTGGGAATGGATAATGCACATTTTTTTTTTTTTTTCAGTAAATATTGTTCAAAATGAATTGTAAATCAATAATAAAACTAAGTTGAAAATAAATGTAGTCGGTTTTATTTATATGATAACTGCAAATATGAGAATTGTTTCTGCCACTAGCCACCTTTGCTCTTTAATATTAATATAAAAACATATGTTAAGCCTTTGTATATAATGCATCATAAAATAATTGTAATGCATTAATTATGCCCTGTAATGCACCTCATAATACACTGTATGATCTCATGAATAATTATAACCACAGATTTATTATCCTTACCTATTTGTTTTACACCTTTAGAAAGTATAATGCATTAGAACATTGTATTGCACTGTAACAAGGAATCTGTAAATATTTAGGTTATTTCTGAAAAAAGAAATATCATACTTTATAACGTACCTTATGAACATGCATTATGCATAAATGCATCAAGTAAAGTGTTACCAAGCATTCTTCTATTAAAATTGTATTTGTGTTGGTTCTATGCAGTTTATGGTAACATTATGGGTTTTGTATATGGGTCGCCACTTGGTGTCCAAAATCAAATCCGGGTCTTGAAACAGAAGCAGATGGGAGCCTCACAATTGGCCTGGACTTCTTTGGATTGTGTCGGAATAAACTGCTACTAACCCTAACTGGCTAAAAGCAGTTGTTTACAATGGTTTAAACCCGAACATAGTGCGTTTACTGATGCCGTTTGGGGGCCAGTTGTGTTCTCTCCATTGTAATCGCTTCTGGTGGCTCGCACGTCTAATTTTTCACACGTTCTTCATAATAGAGGTATGCGGCTGCCCCCCTCGGGACGGGAAATTTCAGGTTTATGATTTCACCACTCGGACAGCTGCACTAAAGGTAAACACTGCGGCATGCAGCCAATCAGACGGCGGCAGCAGCTGCTGGGCATTCTCACCGTTCTCCTCGTGTCCGTTGGCTTCGGGCGTGGCGAGGCGGGAACGGGAGAGTTCCTCCGGTGCTTCGGGGTAGATGATGGCTGTGTCTCCTCTCTGGAGGTATTCGGCAATGCTGACCACATGACTTTCACTGTCCACCAGTTTACGCTTCCGGAAGAAATCCTCAAACTCAGTAGCGCAGTGTACGCTCTTCACTAGAAACACACAGAGAGAGAGAGAAAGCGTTTAAATAAAACCTGGATTCTTGCTTGCATGAGAAAAATATGGTGCATTGGAAGGTGACGGAAACCTGCGGCAGCAGCTGTGATCAAAAGAACACAGGAACATTAGAGAAATGTTCTAGGAGGGACATGTCTAAATTACTGCCTTATCTAGCCACCCAATGGACACTAAAATAAGAAATATGACTTAATCTAACAGGAGAACCATTGGAATTGTGGAAAAGCTTTTTAACGATAAACCCTTTTTTCTACTTTTTAAATGTATTAGAGGCAGTCAGACAAGGAGCAGAAACATATGTCGTAATCCCAACATCACTTCCTAGCTCTCTACTTAGAAGTAGATAATTAGAATAGAAATTAGAAGAAATTTTGAAGTGAAGACACAACAGGGCTGAGGCTATGTGCTATTTTTCCTTTGCCACTTAAAAAGCAAACATTTGAATCACGAAAATGCCCACAAAAAGAAAATTACAAATATACCAGTTGTTTCTCCAAGACAGCAATGAGAATGAGTAGAAATGTTTGCTGAATTTCCTGCTTCTTGGATGTTTCTCGTGAGAAAAAGACTCGAGTAATCTCTCGTGTCTCTTCTAAATGTTCAGAGATCTCAATATGAACTCAAACATTTCTCATCAAATGACCTGAGCTGCTCTCCACATTCATTTTATAGCTCTATAGTCGTACTGCATCACAACTAGTCACTCATTTGGGAATCTTAGGAGAAACATCTGAGAACAACATGAAACATAACTGAGAAGTGAGTACTGAGCTGTGAAAAAGCAATAACATTTGCTCATATGGAGAATCAGTGTATGTAGAAAATAGACACAAAGAGTGTCATAATTATTTCTCCACATCTTTTCTCTACAAGAGAAGATACAGGAAATCAAAGGTGTTTTACGTTATTATATAACAGAATATTATCTAACAGAGAATAAATAGCTCTCAACCATTCGTCAGACAAGTTAAATATTACAGCAGGGGGCCAACGCATGTTTGGCTTGAGGTTTATCAGCTACCTTTTAATTAGGATGAGCTTGTGTAAGGTATAAACTCTGCACTGAGGTTTGTCTGACAGTAAACATTTTATCGTCTCATTTGTGCAAAGGTCGAGCCGCTGGGCTGTGTCGCTGTCAAAAATGTCTTGAAAATGTCAGAGAGCCGGCAGCCCTTTAACATTATTTAACAGAGCAAATGATTTCCCTCCTCTCTCATTACTAGACCTGCCTCGCTATCATTCACGTGAACACGCGTGAGCGCCGCGGCCCGACAAATGAACACGTTTAGCTCCTCGCTGCGGCGGCTTACATGATTTTAACAAATCAAGTTTACGCACAAATTAGATTTTGTCCTGAAATGCGATTTGGGGAAGTTCGTGCTCGCAGAAGAAAGCGCTCTAAAGTCGACGTCCTAATGTTTTCCTTCCGCTTCTGTCGCTCGAGCCGAGAACGTCCCTCCCTGCAGAGGAGGATCGTGGGCTGTTTATCTCTGGAGTGTGTGTCTAACATTAGAAAGCTTTATTAAAACTACACAACCTTCCTCCTGAACTACATCAGCGATGAAAGCTCAAACACGGCCTAACAGTGTTTCTCAAACCCTTGTGTGTGTGTGTGTGTGT